TTGTATTTGTATTTAAAATGCAAGTAAACAATTTAATCTCATCTGTTTTTGCCAATGTGGCTATTTCGAGTTACACGTGATGTTTAACTTTTTCGAGAGTTGATTTAGTTGATAGAACAAGTATCATTCTGATCGACTCTTTTCTAATATTCTCATTTCTCTGGGAGTATTTAGTTTCAAACGCAAATAGATTCAAAATCTATTTAAAATTTGAAATTCATAACAGTTTATTGTTCTTATTTCAAATACGAAATGGAAATGGGGTTTTTCGTTTTGGATACCCATTTCGAATGAAATCAATTCGTAAGAGTTACTCCGATTTGCGTTTATAATAAACTCGGATAAGAAAAGTCTTTCTTATGTTTACGGGTGCTCATTTACATGCTCATTTAATGATTTACAGGTGTCCATTTATTCGAGGAATACGAAGAATGGTGTAGAACGTAAATATATAAGAGGCATGAAATCACGATTTCGTTTCTATGTCCGATAGTTGATGCTTCGTAAATTTTCCGACGGTGTTTCACTGTATATATATTTAGAAACTATTTCTTTTAAGCTAAGATAATATTCTAACTTCGGTTCAGTGAATGGAACAATTGAATCACTAAGAAACTTGTTAACATTTAATAGAACATGTTCTATTATATTCTTTATGAAATTCTGTAAATTATTATTTAACAAAAAGTACGTTAGGTGGGTCAGGGACGCTCCACAGTAATACTAAAATAATTTTCATTAATTGTTTTTGTTTATAAATATTTATTTTCTTTAGGAAATCCATTCTGCCCCTCGAACGATTCGAATTCCGCGCTGCTGCCACCGCTAGTACGCTGCGCGGCCGGAGAGGGCAGTGCGGACCAGGTGCAAGCCATCGATGGAGTACAGTGTACATATGTAAACTAGAGATGCTCATCTCTGCTGGCCCGTGTAAATTCACCTTTCATTTCGAATGACTACAATATATTTAGATATCGTTCGTAATAGAATAATTGCATGATTAATTTATGAGGTTAACGGTTATGATCATTCGTTTTGTAAAGTATGAGATTTGTTTCAAGAATCTGTTTCCATTTGGCGGTTAGGAGTGTTATCAGTGTGTTGTTATTGTACTCTTATATGTCAATATCTTGGAAATATGTCCTTATCTCTGTGTTAATTACATGTGTCTTCGATATGTATATCAAGAAATAAATTAATACATACCACCATTCTTTCGTACTTTTTACTGCTTATGTAAATGTTGACCTAAAAAAAGTAAGGTTCTCTGTTATACAGGTTTTTTAATTACCAAGAAATGAAAGTTTTGTAGGAGTGGTTGCGTTTATAGTGAAAACAGGAGATAATACTCTTCCTTGACATATAAATATCCCAATAGTTTATTAGGTTATAATTTATTTATCTTGTGAAATTAAAGAATCTTTATAATGCTTAAAGATATTCTACCATTTTGGACAACATATGGACAGTATGTTGTAATTGGAATTTTGCCATATTTGGTATATTGTTTCTTCCTTAAGAAGTTTACAAATATTGCAGCAAATAGAAAGAATTCAAATACCGAGAATGCACAGGAAGAAGATGGTAAGTTATACATTTTTTACATCAATTTGAAAGAATGTTTAGGAGCACAGTATTTTGCAACGACTTAAAATTTATAAACCTTAGCAACATGCATTTAGATTTACTAGAAAGAAAGTGATTATTCTTCGTGTGATACGTTTAAAATGATCGTGAAAATCTTTTATTTTAATTGTTTTTATCTGTTATTAACTAATTTGACTCTTAGAAAATCATGAGAATGTATTGGATGAAGATACAGATGAACCAGTACTTCCAAAAGATTTAAAAAGCATACCATTTAAATATGTGAGACCATCGGAGGGAGAAATGGTACAGAGGTCTATTGAATTCTACAATATTGCTTCAGCAAGACGAACGCTTCGATTCTTCAGTTCGGATCCTGTCCCACCAGAAGTTATACATAACATTATAAGAACTGCTGGTATGATATTGGAAACAAGTAACGTATATGTGTGATAAAATTATAATAGATTAGATATTTACAACATAAAAGATATGATTTTTAATCTTAAAGAAGGTTAAAATTTAAAGTAGTAATTAAAAATGTATACCCTTAATTGTAGGAACTTCACCTAGTGGCGCACATACTGAGCCTTGGACATTTGTAGTTGTAAGCAATACATGTACGAAGGAACGTATAAGAGAAATAGTAGAGTTGGAAGAAGAAATAAATTACAAAAAGAGGATGAGTAAAAAATGGGTGACAGATTTAAAACCTTTAAAGACTAATTGGGTCAAAGAATATTTAACCACAGCACCTTACTTAATTTTTGTTTTTAAACAAACATATGGAGTTTTGCCAGATGGCAAGAAAAAGCACCATTACTATCATGAATTAAGCGTTTCTATCGCTTGTGGAATACTTATTACTGCAATTCAAGTACGTATCATAGTCTATCCAATTTTGCAAAATGTTAAATTCTTATTGTTCTAATAAGATAAGCGGTTTAGCTCAACTTTTGAGATGTGACTATTTACATCTACATTTTTTTTTCAATGATCAGTATGCTGGATTAGTAACACTGACATCTACGCCATTGAATTGTGGACCAGCATTGCGTACCTTACTTGGCCGTCCGTCTTCTGAAAAACTCACACTGTTGTTACCCGTTGGATACCCTGCTAATGACGCTACTGTTCCTGCACTACGACGAAAACCTCTTGACGACATCTTAATTGAAGTCAATTAATTATATTATTAGAATGTAAGTTTCATACAAGCCAAGTTATGGTCAAAACTATCCACTAAAATAAAAAAAAAGAAAAATAAGAACTTGAACATTAGTAGTATCTTTTCAGAAAGAATTTTTGTTTTACAACTAGATTTTAAGTTTAAAACGAAGTGAATATTAGTATTTTTAAGTGTACTACTTAATTATGTAATGTTATGTACACATAATTACAGGAATAATTTTTAAATACAATGAGAACCAACGCATCGGTTTATTTTTATTGTTTAGAACGGTAATTTCAGCAAATGCCGGTTTCACTGCAGAATCATTAATACAAATTTTATAAAGTAATGTTTATTTGTCTTGGGATACATTACGGTTAAAATAAGCAATATAAAAATTATTTCAAGGACGTGTAAAAATAAAGTAAATTAACTGCTTAATGTGACTGATTCATTCTGACTCTTAATGTACAACTACGTGAAATTAGGCAGTTTTATTTCGAATACGAGGATTCGAAAAAAAAAACGATTACTTTTACAGTTGTAGGTACCAAATACACCATAGGATCTTAAATTAAGTACACTTCATATATAATGTACGAAAATACTGAGTTAAACAACGAAAGTTATTAAACGGTGGTACACAATTTGTCTGCAATATCGCAATAGTTGGTGTATCGTACCTAGTCTGCTACCAGTAGCTATGTCATTAAGTGTAAAAGCTTGAGTATCATGGTACATACAGAGAAACAGACAACATTCTAACTATTGTTATTACGAGATAGTAAATATGTCTTCTTTTAAAATGTCAAATCATCTTATCGTAATATTTTCTGCAGAACTCAGTCTGTTTCGTTTTGTAGTGAGGGATCGAAGCATTATCTACAATGACAATCGCGTAGAATTTTAGAACTGTAATTAGTGAATTCGTTTCCGATCACAGCTCCACAACTCTGTGATACAATAGTAGGATACAGTTATTGAAGATTCTGCCCGAAAATATGAACCGCTAAGATCCAGACGTCAGTATATTGTAGCATTTGTTAAACTGTGGACGTGAATGGTGTTGAAAGTATTCACCACAAAGTTCACTGAACTAGGTGAACATTGTTTCTTTTTGTCCAAGGTGGGCATCTTACAGAGGAGATCGTCGTGCACAGCTAGACCCATATCACCGCTGCTATGGCACCGAGATTAAGTCTATGTAGAAACCGTTTATCCCGAATGTATCGAATAACGCATGAGAACATTTTCGGACGCAAGTATACAATCGTTAGATCAACATTGTCGTTTTCAAGGTACTTTACGTAAAATCAACCGAATCTGCCGTGATACTCGCTAATATCAGTTCTACGAGTTTCAAATGTCACGTTCCCAGAGATTAGCTTCGTAAATGATATAAGTAATAGTAGAATCCGATTGGATAAAAAAAAGGAAAAAAATGTAAAAGCAAAGTAATACTCTCCTAAATCAAAAACAGCTGTTACTCCATAGCAATAGGTAAAATCCGCCTTAAATTCAGGTTTAATCACGCCGATGGAATTCCGCTATGCAGAGGCGACACGACCAGGAGCCCTCCGGAGGAGATGCGAGGGGTGGAGACAGACAATACATGTGGTAGCCACGATCACAGTCGTCACAGAACAGCAGCTGATCCTAATGTAGTGTGTCAAAGGGTTAATCATATACGAGAGCCTTCGACTTAGTCAGTAAACGTTCATCGAAGAAAAGACAGGCCAAACCATTGTTAGTCTAATAAAGACGCAACTCAATGAGGCCGTACGATATAGAAATTGACCAAGTTCTATAATTAGAAATAATTAGAATTCTCATGCAGAAGAGCCAATAGCCCGTTTTGTATGGACACGAATGTTAAAGCTTTCAGTCCCAAAGTATTAGTTTGACTTGAAAAAGTTGAATGATTTGGAATACTGGTTGTCAACGTGTTCCCAATTCTTGAAAACTTGGGAATATCAACCGTACTTAATCCAGGACAAATCGGTTTTCGATAACCTCAAGCAAAGCCAAAGATGTGTCGAATTGTCGAGGAATGTAATGTATTTTTACTCACGTCGTTATCAGAGGTGCCGCATATGGAGCAGCATTTGCACTCGATACACTGCCACCTGTACTTGCGCACAGAAACGATCATGTTTGCAGTGAATTGCAAACAAGTTGGGTGTCCTACAACAAGAACGTATGCATGTCAAGGGACGTTCAGGATGTGGATCGGAAGGAACGACGGACGAGCAGAAAGGTGCCAGGACATTTATCTTGTGCCGAAGAACAGTGAACTCCAAGCTGTTACTTTTCATTGCATCCGGTAGCCAAATCGAGCCTCAGCCAAACAAGTACGAAGAGTACATACTCGCTTTTGTAATTTTGTTCGCAGGTGCGATTACATGTCTTTCACCTTTCCTCAGCACTAAACGTCCGGAATAATGAAACGCTATCGTGTTTCCGCACAAAGTGTTTTATTTGAAGACATTTGCAATTTTTTGATGTTGTGTTTTGAACATACCGTTATTATTATTTGGAGTAATAGGTGGTAAGTAATAGCAGAGCGTACCTTGGAATAGTTCACGTTCTTTCTTGCGCAGCACAATATAAACGTCGCAGATCAGCACACTCTCCCTCTCTCTCATACAATCTCATCATATATCACACACCCACATTCTTAAAATTAATGTTACTTAAACACTAAACTTTGTAAGTCTTGTGGGTATTGCTTAATTAAAATTGCCTAATAACGATTTTTCATTTTCATTTAACAAGGAGGAACTATCTGCATGCATTCGTATTATACCAAGTGAGTCTTCCCGATGGTCATAGAAATGGCTAATTTAACTTCTAAGACTGGAACGAAAGTCGTGAAAGTCATAAACATCTATGTTGTTTTTATTGCTGAATATTACTATTGTATTCTGGCTTGATTCTGGCTGCTATATTTTCAGTTTGAATCAATTTAAAACGTAAATCGCATTACGACACGTCGTTACTTACTATTAATTGAATAGTTCATACTTTAATATATAACTGACTAACAATGAACAATAATGAATACTGATGGAGTAGAATTGTCTTTGACTCTTCGGATCTGAACGTTCCAGAATTTCTGCATAATTGTCACTTGATATTTCAACAACTTTTCATTTGATTCATGCTATCAATTGATATTTTTGCAGATAGTACTGATAAAAGTATGATCAAAAACATAACGATCAGGGTGAACTACGATCGTATTTATATCGTAACTAACAATGAATAATTTAGTACTCAAGTACAGCTATACTCATAAAATATGAAGTGCGACTTACGAATGATCAATATCTTTGGAAGAGACAGTTAGTCATTTAGCAAAACATTGTAAATCCCTTAGAAAAATTTTACTGCCACATTTTCACCCTCGAAACGAAATCGGTTAATTTGCAAATTTGGCTAGCAGGCTAATTTTCAACAGATAAGGCTCATCATCAGTCACGGTCAGTGATATAATCGAGGTACCAAGAAACTACTTTTATACACTTTTGCCTGTCACGAATCTCTCCGATTTGTTATGAACACTTGGCTCGCCCGTGTAAAACTTTTTAATAATACTACAGATGTACATATTTTACTATACAGCTGTAACATTTGGAATATGTTTTCACAACATTCTTAGGCTGCGTTCCGAAATCCGTTGCGACTATCGGCAACAGCGGTGCATCTTCATTTTCTCCTAATAATTCGAATGAAAACACAATCATGCTGCCGGTATTGCAAACGGATGTCGAGAGGTAGCCTCAGTATTTTAACAATCGCAGAATACGTTGGATACTCGCCGAATGCCATAGGTCAGGTATATTAAATACATTTGATACACCTGGATAAATACAGGTATATGTCATCTACACTGAGTGAGGCATTCGTGATTACTCTACACACATAAATAATAATTTGGCTAATAAAATTAATCTACCTTTAACTTTGTAACAAAGGTACAAATTTGATAAACGGTTGGATAACCTACTATTATCGTGCTTCCCCCTGTTACAAGATAAAATCTGAACCTTTTCTCAACTAATAAATAACGCGGGCCAGTTTAGTATTTCCAGATACAAATTAAACGATTAAGGCTCTCTTGGCATCTATACCGATCCAGGTACTGACAAAGCTGTGTTATAATGCTTTGAGGATCGTACGTACAACGACGAAAATACCTTCCATAACTTTCCCCGAAGTACAAATTTCTTACAAATGTTCATGCAAACGTCTCCAATTAGGGACGGAACGAAAATATTTCAATGTACTCGAAGTTCGAAAATAATTAAACCCCATTGACATCGAATTCTTCTGTCTGAAAAACTGATAAGGTATTGTATTAGTATCAGATGTGGTACTGTAACCTCTAGTCAAATGATGCTTGTATGAGTATCAAAGCTTGTACAAAACTAAGTTACATCAGACTTCTACAAGAAGATATTATCATACAGTGGAGTACGACGTTAATACAATTATAAGGAATAATAAATACAAAATTTTACATAACCGAAGACTCAACGTTAATTGAAAAGACTTCTTTGTAGTTCAATTAAATATCTAATAAATATTTGTGTCATTACATGACGAGAAATTCAAAAGTATGGTAGGAAATGAAAATAATACTTAGAGAGTTAAAGGAGTCTTGAATGAAGTTACAAAAAAATAAATTGTCAAGTCAGAAGAGCTGATAGAATAAATCGATTAAAGCGATACCAAGGGACCTTACTGTCTTTTGTGATCATCGAACGTGTTCTTTTTGGTTGTCAAATGATATCAATAATCATAAAAACATTCCCAATTAATAAAATGGTGGCTTAGAAATATTGTTCGGTAAGTTAATGCCGTTTATTGTTACTAGTGACAGTGGGAAAAAAATTCAAGAATGAAGCTATGCAACTGATTGTTCAGGTTGATTGATTGGTTATTCGGTTTAATCATTGATGTAAGTGCAAAGGGTTTCAGAGTATATCTGATTTAAAAGCTACACGCTGTAAACGTTAAACAATTTGATGGTTAACGTCTTGTTGTTTTTCAATAAATAGATATGCCTGCCAATTGAGTAACTTGGAGTATAGAATACATATTTGAAAATGTCAGGCAGTATAGGTGGACTCTCGGTGTCCTTTAAAACATGAATCGTAATAAAATCTCTCACGAGACATAGAGCACATGAAATTCATCCTACAACATTAACATAAGTAAGACAATATTACAATTATTCAAATAGAAGAAAACGTATCTTGAACACGTGCTCTCGTGAAACTGTGCAAACAGGAATTTTTACATTCGGCAATTTCGCGTCACGCACAAATTGCATGCTTACAATTAGTGACACGTCTCTAGTAAAATGTAGAAATTTCATTGAACTTTTTAGCTGATGGTACGATGCAAGATGGATCGTAGCGAGCTGAACTTTGTACGTTGCATGCCAGAAAAAACGTTGTACCTTACAACTAATCTCTGATTTATAATAAATCACAGTTAATTTACAAAGTAAAGGAATTCCTGAAAACCCCCGTTACTCACAACAATATACACCACCGATAAAGCGATGCCTTGCCATTTTTTTCTTCTTTTCGATTTGACTAGTGTACGTAAAGCTCATAACCATTCGATCTCAAACGCGCGTATAATTTCACTTCAATTATTGCACATTCCAATAACCTGGTACTCCTGGTAACACTTGAAATTACTCATCGAGAAACGAACGTAACATTCGTACAAGTCGAAAACAAAACCGTAACGTTTCGACTTTACCCATATTTCCTAAAACATTATATATATAAAAAGAAATTAAAACATCCCAACATCCATCTTGCATTTATTACAACGTTTCCGTCGTCGTCTCAACGGTAATCGTTTCCTCTTCTATTTTGTACCTTGTACTTCTGACGATTTAAAAGTGTTTATGAATTGAACGTCTCTCCAATCGAGTGCCAAAATATAATTTTTCTTCCCCCCCCCCCCGCGAATTCTACGATGCTCCTTAACTCATTGACTCAAGAAAGGGACTCGCGTAGGAAGCTATTTCCCCGTATTTATGAGAGAAGCGTGGAAAGACGTAAGGCGGAAGATTAGTCCACGTACACGTTCAGGACAAACATATTAAGGTAGAGGCGATTTTTATACACAATTTACATATCAAACGTGTGTAACGATTGTGGACGAGGAATGTGCGTCTGGTCGCGAGGAAGAGTACACTTGGATTCCTGTACGGAAACAATTCCTTGATCGATTCGCCCCGTATTTGCACGGATCGCGCGAATCCGAGGCTAAATCACTCTTGATCTCTTCTTTCACAGGGATAGACCTTTAACGTGGGATTAGGATTCTCGTCGTCCGGACGTTCGGTTTTTGGTACGAGATTTAAAGCGTTATTTGCAATCGATTTAATGCAGGGATAGCGCAGACACGGAACAATAGTGCAGAATAAACGTTCAAATCGGCGGTGTGGACGTAAAGCGCCCCCTGCGAAATCGAAGCTGCAGAACAGACTAGAGGTGAATTCTGATTGGTCGTTGCATCCGTTCGGTAACGCATTGGACAAGAAAGTTTAAGACTGTAAACTTTTCCGGCCGTCCACTACCATTACCAACCGTACGATTCGGCTGCGAACGCTCGCATTGGAACTCAGGTAACAAACTTCTGCACCACCATACTATCCCCGCACTAAGTTGACTGTGAATGCCACTTTAAACGCCTGCTTTCCCTTCTCACAAGGTTTGCGCGGGTTAGCCGTTTTTACTGCACTTATGTGTAACGATTGTAACCGACTGTCCTACTTTTTTCATGAAGAGTGTAAAACTGTGGATCCACTTTCGTCGACTGTCCCGAACATCAGCAATCTCAAGAAAATTCAAGTTATAGTTCCCCAATTTCCATTGAACTAGCTTCGGTGACTTCTTCAAGTAAAGTTCATACGTTTACTTTACGCTTTATGATTTCATACGACACATTCTCGCTCGCGCCGTACCTACTCTAGGGCGAGTGCAGGAAGTGCCACTTTTGTATCAAAAAGTGTAAAAGTGTCGTAATCCGAACAGCCGCCTCCGTCGTCGCGTCCGGTAACCCGATGCTAAACTTGGCCAAAATGAACACCAAGTGCAAAAGTGCAGTTAACCCGAAGAACCCTCCGGTCACGCGCTACTCTCATTCACGGAAAAGCACATTGCAAAACTTCGTAACACAGTGATCAGATTCTCCACCCCCAGACTACGTATTCCCTAACCCAGGGAGGCGGAAGTGGGCCCGAAACAACGGCCGCGAAGGTGGATCGGGGAAGGGCAGCCCCTGTCCAGGTCGCGTCGCTCAATTGTGATTGGCCCTGCGCGTGTACTTGCGCTTGGACTTTTCTTCGAGCTTACCTGAGCGGCCACAGTCGCTGCAGGAGACCAACTCTTCGGAGCCGCCGGTCTTTTTATTCTCCCGAGCGTCGCCCAAACAGAAGTCGCAATAGGGCGAAGGCTGAGCGGCCTTGCCAAGCTTCTTCTCATTCCCCCCGGGGGTCGGGGGGCCGCCCTCAGCCTTCCCCGAGGACGGCGAAGGGACCGCTCCAGGGGAGGCGACCGCCGGCGAGTGGTCCTCCTTGGGGGTGGGGACAGGCGACGTTGGCGCGGAGGAGGAGGAGGAGGTGGCCGCGGCCACGGCGGCCACGGCAGCGGCGGCGGCGGCGGCAGTAGCGGCAGCAGTGGCGGCGGCGGCAGCAGCGACGGTGCTGGTGGCGGCTGTTGAGGTGGCGGAGGCTGCGGTGGTGTTCGCCGCGACCGGGGGCGGTGGCTGCTGCTGCGGCACCGGCGACGTCTGCGGAGGCGGCGCCCCCGCCGCGGGGGCGGTCGGGGCCGCGGGAGAGGGGGTCGAGGTACTCGAGGAGGCAGTGTTCTGTCGACCCCGACGCGTACCACCTGATCACAAACCGACCACATACCCAGTTGCGCTTTGCGTCATTAGCCAACGATCATGCACACCGTTTGATCGATAGATTTACACTTAAGTACATCGAAGTTATCTCGCAATAATTGATTCTGATACGTTGGGTTGGGGACCGTTAGATTCCGAAGCTCGACGACGTCATCGGGTTGTCCAGAAAGTTAACGCAGTTTTCAGTTTGTTTCCAAATAAAGTTGTTTTTCTTCTATGCCCGTGTATAATTTTCTAACGCAGGCTTTGCTCTGCATTTTGATAATGATCATTGGGCTCCAAATATTAATTTTTCTTTTATTTAGACTATTTAATTAAAGATGAGAAAGAAGAAAATTCGGGCGATTTTCATGTACCGGTTCAAGATGAGCCGTAAGGTGACTGTAGGGATTTGCGATATCAACGATGCATTCGGCTCAAGAACCAACTAACAAACGCACGGTGTAATGGTGGCTTCAAAAGTTCCGCGAGGCAGGCGAGAGCCTTGAAGATCAAGAGCGTTCCGGACGTCTCGAGGTAATTGACGCAATGAAAACTTTTTTTGTTAATTATTGCTATCAAAATGTACAGCGATGTCTGTGTCTTGAAATGGTATATAACATAGATATAGAGAAAGAAAAGGGAAGAATTCTGTTTAAAAACAAAGCGTTAAATTTTAAATTCCGTTGACTTTCTGGACAACTTAATGGCTACGTACCGTAGCTATCATCTGTACCGAAGGTGTCTTCGAAAGCTAGGAAACGTATGTAATTGATTTGGACAAGAGCTTTAATATGAAATACGTGAGAGGTGCAATTCCTGTTATCTTTTGGCCTGATGCGTAGATGTTAGGAAAAAAGTACTTTAGCGCACCCTTTGAAAGCGTTTTTTATTACGTTACCGAATAATGCCACAAAAAATGTGCGAAACTCTAGTAGTTTTACCTTGCGGAAGCCGTGTCATTCAGTGATGTATTATTATTATTTCAACAAGATTTAAATGTAATTATATATTTTTAGGTATAACTTAAATTATATTTCATGCCTCGTTCTTCGAGATTACAATGTAGTACTTCTTTCTTTGTATAATCTTGCCACTATCTTCAAAGTATAAACAAAACAAATGTTTTTCTTCCTCTCCTCTCCCGACATCCTCCGCGATCCCCATATCTTTTCTTAGTGCGGAAAGAAGCCACATCTTTAGAAAGCCTTCCCTCAAAATACTTCGGAATTATGAGAAAATCCAAGAAAAGAAGCCGTTCTTATGATAAAGAAGAAGAAACACGAGGAGGAAATTGGAGGAATTAAGTAGAAAGTTCGATCAATTAATACATCGATCTCCAGGGAGTCAACGGATTTCATCCGGAGAGAGAGATTCCGAATTTCAAGAAACTGAAGGATATCAGCCTGAAGGTTTTGATTATATAGGTAAGTCTTGCAACCTTATTTATCGGCAGCTGAGCTTTCACGAAAGGGAAGACATAGCTGACTACCTATAAGGTTAAGCCCGCGCTAGAAGCGGGATATAACCTAAGAATCGGCCTAAACCCGCACGAGAGGCGGGTAAATGGATAGAAAAACGAGCCTTTGAAGCTTCGTTGTTGAAAAGCGTTTTCACTTTGACAGTTCTCGATAAACCCGAGGACCTAAACTTGTCAACCGTTGGGCCTAATCATTCAGGAACTAATTCAAGAAGGCTCGAGATTTCTTCGAATCAGTCGGAAGTTGGCTTTAATAATTCAGCCATTGCCCCCGACTGTCCCGAGAGTCAGGTCAAGGAGTCAGCGACCATTACAACCCAGGACTCGTCAGAACCCTTTACTGAACCTGCAATCGACGTCGAGGTGCTCAAGGTATTGGGAGAAGACCCATCGGAAAATTCAACGAAGGAGGTAGAATTCCATCCCAAACTCTTGTCCCGTTGGAACATTTGACTTGCATCAAGTTTGCCAAAGGAGCTTAAGTCAGAATTATTAGTGAAATACCCACGTGCCGAAAATTGCCCACTCGAAATAACTGGACTTAACCCAGAGATAACGGCATCATTGAACGAAGCGGGCATTGAGGCGAGACAGGCATTTCATGGCTAATCAAAACTCTTTAGGGTTAGCAATTGTGACCCTTGGTACAGGAATATCATTTCTGTTGTTTCCAGAAGCTAACGGCCTCGACAGATTTAAGCGGCTGGAATGTCTGTCGGATACTGGCAAGATTCTTACAGACCTTTACCATTCGTTCACCCTAACCAGAATGTCCTTTATCTCGCCGGGCCTGAGTAAACAGATGTGGGATATCTTGGAAAATACGAAGACAGATTCCCTGTTGTATGGGGCCAATCCTTCGGAGAAAATTAAAGAAGGTCGATCCAACGAAAAATTCGGTCAAAATATTAAAACACAAGAGATTGCTAAAAAAAAAAAACTGCTTACAGGCCGACTAGTACTTTAAACCGCCAAGGCCCACCCGCAAGAACATTTCAGAACTCGATACAGGGTGGGCTACGCAGAGCTCAAGCAAGGTACCCATATCAACCGAGAAGCTTCATTTCGAGCAGCTACAGAGGAACGTCGCAACCTGCGCGGACCCGGGGTCGCACTACACGAGCAAGAGTTCGCATCATTGACGCTAGAGGTAAATAAAGTAGATGAAAGGATACAGGATTTCATTAAAAATTGGGGGAACATCACGAATGATGGAGTGATCTTGGACTACGTACGCGGATGCAAGGTTCCCTTTAGACCTGTTAAACAGGTACTAGCGCCTCCCGGAACCGAAACGGTCGCCCGAAGAAGTTTCCCACATGACTGATGCAATTAATGCCTTAATCAATAAGGGAGCCATCGAACCTTATGAGTCACAGGAGGACCAGTTTTTATCTTCATATTTTTTGATTGATAAGCCAAATGGGCAAAAAAGATTTATTTTAAATTTAAACAACCTAAACAGGTTCGTCGAAACAAGTCATTTTAAAATGGAAGATGTGCGAACAGCCATTAAGCTACTTAGTTCTCACTCTTATATGTGCAGTATAGACCTGCTCGACGCATATTTCTTGATTTCTATACACCCGGAAATTAGAAAATATTTAAGATTTTCGTTCAGGGGAACGCTTTTCAAATTCACCTGTCTCCCCTTCGGTCTATCATCTAGTTCATACGTTTTTACAAAGATAAAGCCGATAGCTAGTTTTTTGAGAACTAAGGGCTACTCTTCTGCGGTTTATCTAGACGATTGGCTTATTTTCGGAGAATCTTGGGAAGCACGTAAAGGAAATTATAATCAAACAGTTGAATTGCTTAATTCTTTGGGATTTATGATCAATGTTCAAAAGACTAATGATGTTCCCAGCAAATTCTGCAAATTCTTAGGATTCACATTTCATTCAACAGACTTCTGTCTAGAATTAACCCAAGAAAAGACAGATAAACTCTTCAGGTTAACTAAGAAGTTTTCTGTTAAACAAAAATGTGTTATTAGATAATTCGCGCAGTTTCTCGGCTCATTAGTTGCAGCTTGTCCAGCAATACCATACGGTTGGATGTATACAAAGAAGTTTGAAAAACAAAAACTAAAGGCATCACGGGCTTCAGACAGTGATTTTGACCAAGAAATGACTGTATCACCATACTTAAACTCAGATTTTCATTGGTGGGAGAAAACCTTACTAGTGGGTCGCAACCCTGTAAGAAAATTCTGCTTCAGGAAAGAAATTTTCACAGACGCTTCTTTAACACGTTCAGTGCCGAAACAAATGACGAGTACGTTGTCGTAAATAGACCGTGGGGCGTATACGCCCCACGCGGCAGGAAACGTGTTAACCGAGTGGGGAGCATATTGCCAGGGTCAAAAAAAGTCGTGGTCTTTGGTTAGCAGAAGAAAGAAAATTCCATATAAATTTCCTGGAGTTAATTGCGGTATTCTTTGGACTTAAATGCTTTGCTGCTGATTTTCGAAATTGTGAAATCTTGCTAAGAGTAGTTAACACAACAGCCGTATCTTATATAAATCGTATGGGAGGAACTCATCTTGAAGCCTATAATGACCTAGCATCTAAAATATGGAAATGGTGTGAAGACCGAGGCATTTGGTTATTTGATTCATATATTCCTTCAAAACACAATGTGGAGGCGGGTAAGCAATCTAGAATAGTTAATAACGATATCGAGTGGGAACTTGCGAAAGCTAGTTTTCATAAAATAATTAACAGATTCGGGTTTCCAGAGATTGACCTATTTGCTTTGCGAATAAATATAAAATGCAGGCTATTTTGTTCTTGGCACGGTGATCCTGAGGCATATGCAATAGATGCGTTTACAATTTCTTGGGCTAAGAGGAACTTTTACGCTGTCCCCCCGTTTTCGTTAATTATAAGAATTGTTTGGAAAGTAATCATAGACGAAGCAACATGGGTAGTAGTGGTCCCGTATTGGCCAACACAACCGTGGTTCCCCCTGTTTAAAGCATTATTAAATGAAGAATTCGTAATTTTTGAGCCTGACGCTAAATTATTGGTTTCTCCATGCAGGTCGACTCATCATCCTCTGGTCAACAAACTCTCACTTATTGCAGGTAAACTCTCAGGGATGCGTTCAAAGAGTATAGACTGCTAGACGAAGCACTGGAAATTATGATTGCTTCTTTAGCATATTCGACCGTAAAACAATATGGCAGAGCCTTCCAGGAATTCTCAAAATATTGCCACGAGAAGAATATTGAAGTCATTAGGGCCGATGTTCAAGTAGTCATTTCGTTTTTAACAAAAAAGCTTGAAGAGAGTGCTTCATATGGAACACTAAATACCCATAGATCAGCAATATCGTTGATTATTCATTGGGATATCTCGAACAACTCTGATGTACGTCGATTCTTTAAAGGTATTTTTCGGCTGCGACCAGTAAAACCTAGATATGCAGAACTTTGGGGGGTAGACCCAGTTATTGCTTACTTAAGTACGCTTTATCCGTTAGAGGAATTACATTTAGAACGGCTAACGAGTAAGCTGGTAACGCTCATGGCATTAGTGACAGGACACAGGGTTCAAACGTTTGCTATGATCAAAGTTAATATTACCTTCACGGAAGGTGAAGCAAAGATTAAAATACCAGAATTAATAAAAACGTCAAAGCCTGGAACATATCAGCCGCTTTTAGTGTTACCCTTTTTCCAAAATAAGACAGATCTTTGCGTTGCTAAAGCATTACAGCATTATTTGCAAAAGACCAACTCCATAAAAGGAAATACCGAGGAATTGTTTCTCGCAATTAAAAAGCCGCATAAAGCAGTTTCCTCCCAAACCATCAGTAGGTGGATAAAAAATACGTTAAGTAAAAGCGGAATAGATACAGATAAGTTCTCAGCGTATAGTACACGACATGTGTCAACGTCCACGGCCTACAAGCGTGGTTTAGATTTAAACTCCATTTGAAGCACAGCCGGTTGGTCAGAAAATTTCAAGGTATTTCCTACATTCTATAATAGACCGTTGATAACAGATAAAGGAAAGTTTGCTTCCTTAGTCTTAGAGTAATGTTTTTTGATTGCTGGTTCATCAAATAAAGAATATCTTATACTCCCTTAAGAAGGGAGAGCGTCAATGTTATATCCGGTTTTGTCAAGAAATAAAGAGTTTTCAGGTTTAAACAGTATACATTTTCTACCCCGGCAAAAATGCTGGTTCTCTGAACATCTACATTGTAATCTCGAAGAACGAGGCATGAAATATAATTGATCGATCAAACGAACTTACCAAGTTATGTTCGATCGCGATTATATGAAGCCTCGTTCGAGAAGATTACATCCCACCCACGTAATAATAAAAATATATATGTATTAAAAAAAAAAATCCCCGAGTTTTTTAACTTTCCCAGTAATCATCCGCATTTTTGCATGCTCTAAAAATATAAAGATCGCTGAGGATGTCGGGAGAGGAGAGGAAGGAAAGCATTTGTTTTGTTTATACTCTGAAAATAGTGGCAAGATCTTACGAAGAAAGGGGTACTACATTGTAATCATCTCGAATGAGGCTCTTAATATAATTGCGATCGAACATCACTTGGTAAGTTCGTTTGATCGATCAATCATACGCTATTGAGGTCTCTAGAGACCTGATAAACAACGTAAAATACGTTGCTCCACGTACAACGAATTGTCTTATAAGAATCAGAGATATTTATCAAAATATTACTTGGCCAAGAATTATATCCGAGAGTATTTCTTCTTCTCGATAACGTTCATAAGTTACCGTACATATGTTCGAATCTACCCACCACACTATGATATGCTAGTCGTTTGACTGGAAGTGATCAACGTAGCGGAATCAATTATTTACAACGTCGTAAAAGCCAAACGACTCACAGAATATAAGTAAATAAGTACACAGAAATGTAACAAAGTGCATTCCGTAAATACATTCCAACACCAACCGCCAATTCAGGATTCAGCATTGAAGTTTCCGCTTCAAGCATTGGCAAGCACAACTGCGATGCAACTATAACGGTTCTACTATGACTCTCATATCACATGTTTTCAACGTTCTACCGAAACCTTGAACCTCGTCAACAGAGTAAAATTCTACGTCATTCTTAAAATTAAACAAGCGTTGATACGGGAAATAAATCTCTATTACTGTTAGACTCTTAGGTAAAAATCGTCATGCTTACGAAGAGGATGTGAACTACCAAGCACACACGTACCAAACGTCCACGCTTCGTCGTACGAAACTGTTGAAAAGTGGGAACGAGTAAAATGTTGTTTCGTCTTAATACATGACAACGGTACAGCTTACTATTGCAAACTGCTTAAGAAAATGGGCTATGCATCCCTTCCTTTTATAACTCCGATTGCACTGTCCAACATTGATCGATGCACCAGACTCATTGTACACCGGAGTACACAGCCGATAGAACAAGACGAAGAGATAAAAATATTCTTTACAAGATGCAACACTTGTGTAAATGTATAACGACTGGATTATGAGTATCATCTGTTGCATTTAAAACATGCACGTAATCGCCGATAAAAATGTCTAATTCAATTAGTCTTAACCGAGTGCTACATACATACGTCGTATCGTCTGCGGTGTAAGTTCATTCGTCCAAGTACTTTACATCACGATAGTGATGTATTAAAAGATTATGAGTAAGGCTAAAAGAAACCGTTCGTGCAGTGTTTTAAAAGGTAAAACGTTATCGTACGTGACAGACAGAAAGAAAAATCAACTCGCAAGGAGCCACTCTCCATAGGGTCGCACAGCATAAATTGATTGCCGAGTGCGAGAACGGTAAAACGGTGTTAAACAACCACACATAGATGTTGCGTCAGAACAATAATAAATGTAAACCATTGAGAGTACATCGTTTGCAATAGACACACCGTAACTCGTAATCGATCTAAACGACTTTGAGGCAAGAAACATGAACACGAAAATGGTATGTAGGCGGTGGAAACGGGAATAGGCAGGAGCACTGGCTCAAAGGAAAGAGAAAACTGAGCAGATTTTGGCTCCAACCTGACTGGTCCGAAGCAGCGGCGTCTGCAGTGCTCCGAGATTCAACTTCGGCAGGACTGGGATTTAGTTCCTTAGCAGGATCACCAGAGGAAGCAGAGTGGGAATGACCGTAATGGTAGATCAAACCGGGTCTGGTTTTATACCGTGCGCTGCATACTGCAAAAGTGCAAATACTGTTTTCCCGCAAACCACCCAACTCAAGAACCATAGTAAGGTAGAATTCAACGTTGCGAACATTTACAAGGATATACGGGATAAAAGCCAAGGGTATATGGGTACAGCACTTAACACCTTCCGCACTCTTACACATCCCTATCCACCTATCGATCTATGTGGACAAGCAGTGAAGGAGTTCCAGCCCAAGAAGCAAAACTAATACGATGCAATGCTCGATGCTCGAATACACCTACGGTAACAGCTCGCTACAAAGTGAGCCAGTACATTCTTGCTCTGTATGGTTATTGGCAGGTCTCGTTACTCCGAAGATACCTGATTTGATGGAGGTACAATACTTTACATATTGAAACATAATTTTTCTTTTTTGCAATTTACTCAACAAATAAGAACAAATTATAACGCTATTTATACATATCAAAAGTGCTCGTTACTATCTCATCAAATATCTTCAGAATTTCCACTAATCTAAAAAGAGTGTTGTTAAAAAGTATACAGAGATTTCAGGCACATTCGAGTTAATCTAGTCTTTCTGCGGAAAAAACGTTTTTTGTAATAATGACCATTGTCTTTCTTCAAGTCTGAAATTAAGAAATGAAAACTTGCGAAAGCAATAAACATTATAAATTTGAGAAACAGAATACGTATCAATCCGGTATACTTTACAGTTACTATCTACATGGAATCATAGAAGTTTTGTCTGATTTTAGAAATGTTTAGGAATTATTTAACGTGGATTTGTGATAATTCGTTTCTGGAGTTAGTAAAAAGTAACCTTAACGAGGAGGGAAAATGAGAATGTCAAGGTACCATTGTTACGGCACTTATAAACCATATTGTGCTGTTACTTTTGTATTTTATATTATATTTTTACGTATATTTTGGTAATCGAGTATGAAGTAAACAAGATTTAAAAATTCTAACTCAAAGAAAGATAACAGTCACTACATACAGACCACTCTTTCAGAAAGAATGATCCTCGAGTTAATTGAAAATAAGACATCTTCCCGTAACCACTCTCCAATATAATATTACGCAGCAATTTCACTACAGTATTTAATAATTTATTTCGAGCTCCCATCTTATATTATATCATAATATATTCTCTGTACCTTGTGGAATATTATATAGATATGTAAAATATAATCATAAAACATATTTAACAAATTTTTTAACGCATTGCGTTTGTGGCTTAATCAAAGTAATAAATGATAGAAATAATAATAATAGTTATTATTATAACGTGAAATGAATAAGAGGAAGTGGTCATTTGTAGTTGTATCTGTGGTTAAACTTACGGTCACAAACGAATGGCTTATCCGAGTCAACAGCATCGTAGTTGGCTTTTTTGCGACCACGGCCCCCTCCCTGTATTGGTAGCGTTTAGTATAATAATTATTACAGCTTTAACACAAAATTGTACGCATATTGCAAAACAATCATAACATTTGCATGCAATCCACGACATGGGCAAATTTGTTATAGCAATTTGTTGGATATGCTAACCAGAATAACGATGATAAAAGATACTTAAGTTGTCAATATGAATTAAGGCATACGATCAATTTTATGATCATTGTCATAATAAAATTTGCAGTGATCAGTAAAATATTCAAATAGAATATCAGATCTCTGCAAGATTTAAAAGTATTTTTTTCTAGAACATAACTTGTTGTTCTAAACAAAACAATATAAAAAATAAAAGCATTTCAAATTATCTTTTTGGTGGAAAACATGTTGATTCACAGAAACATTATACTTCAAAAAGAGAGTAATCATATTCTAACATTTGTGAAATTACTAACAAAAAATATTTAAATTTCACAATAGAAATCAAATCCCACAATTCTTAAAATTGCTTGCAAGATTATCACCCTAAATTTGGCTATTAACACGTTCTGTGCCGCGTGGGACGTATACGCCCTACGATTGGTTTACGACAGCATACCTGTCATTTGTTTCGGCACTGAATGTGTTAAATAAGTTTTATTATGACTGTTTATATTTTTTAATGAAATTCAGATGTACAGAAAGAAATTAATGAAAAGGTTTCCAAACTGATTTTTCAAAAAACATTAATATTGCAAACAAACTATTTGACATGAAACAATTACCTTGGCACGTTTACTTCCTGGACTATCGGTAGATGGGGGATGACTCCTGTTAGGATGATGTGCACCGCCTCGAGTTCTTCTTCGTTTCCTTTTACTGCTGTAACTCTCCTCATAGTCGTAATCACTATCAGGGTCAGGTTCTTCAAAGGCATCCATGTCTAGCATGTCTTGTTCATCATAGTACCATGCATCTTTACTGTGTTCATCTTTAATGGAAATATTACCTATATTATTTTTATTTTAGTATTGAATTTATGAAATTTACATTTGATATGAACTAATAGTATATCATATTTTTCAGAAAAATAAAAAAACAATATATTGGATAACCAGTTACAAATATTGATCACAATCAGTATCATCAATAACTTATTTATGTACATGATTTAAAGCTATAATTCTTTTTACCTTTAAGCGCTGATGAGTCTTTGCTATCATCATTAACACCTGGTACAATACCTTCTGTACCTTCTATCCCATCTTCTGTATCACCTCTTCCTGTTCGTTTTGGATGTAGATAGTGCATTAAATACTGTCTCCGTTTCTTGCGCCATCTCTTGCTCGGATATGTATAAATTTGACCATGCAATAATCCTGGTAATCGTTCTCGTGCTGACATGAAGAGGGCCGAGTGATTTTGTGCCACTCCTATAATGTTATAATAATAAATATGGTTCCTTTAAAATAGTTTTAAGAAAATTTTTGTACAAAAGTTTAAATGAGCAGTAATAATCACAATTAATGTCTCAAAAATGAATTATTCATATTCACGCATAACCAAAATTGTCAAAAATATATTCTTTAAAATTATGAATAGTGTGCTCAAAAATATACAAATTCATAGTAATGTAATTATTATAATGTACATGTATTTAAATGCCACAATGAATGTTTTTACACATGACATTTATAAAATAGTACATTACTGCTATTTAAAAATTCAATACATATACCTGTACATGACAAATGTATTTTCTTTCATTCTTTGAAAAATATATATTAAAGCATAGTAAAATTATCTTGACATTTAATGAATATAAACTTAAATAAGAAATTCTGTTGCAAATGTAAGAATACATTGTTCCAGATTTGTAGTTACTTGAACCTTATTTTTTTTCAATTTTAATGAGTAACTTAACCCTGAATTAAGTATAAATAGAGGAAAAATGTTTCACATATTTAAAGTAATTTTCACGTTTAGTAATGTTTTTGGAGAAAACAGAGTTATATAAAGTTAAAGATTTACCCGTTTGCGAATCGAGGAAGGGCATTCGCAGCCTGCGTTCTCTGCATAGTCGACTATTGTAATTAGACGAGTTCTCGATGGCTTCCCTGTAGGCTGTGTCGTTTAGAAAGCTGGTGGAACCAAATGAACAAATATTAGGAAAATGCACTAGTGTAATAGATAATCACATGAATTTAGGATCGTTTTTGGTCACCTTTCGATTTTATTCAAATTTGATTCGTTCACTACTTGGATTATTTCATGTGCCGATGGAGGAGCAGTCACAACCGCCATTCTTAAACGTTCAATACTCTGGTCTTGCGGAAGTGACGCCACTACGTGAGTCCCATGAACATCTCTCAAAATTTTAGAATAAATAACCTTTAAATTTTTGTTTGTGAATTAGATGGCTGTTAATAGAGAAAAAGATATAACAAATTTTGGCTTATAAATGGGTTATTATTATGCTGCCAAAGTTATATTTTATTTTCGGGGTACTTCTACTAGCGTAGTGAGTCACGCGATTCTACGTCCAACTATACACAAAAGTAAAAGCAAGTATAAGACATTAAATTAGGATTTCTGTAGAGAGACCATGTATTTATTAGGAAAAATGCATTATTGAGAAATAAACAATCCTTTCCATATACGATTATGTAAAACCAAAAATATATATAATCTTGTATTTAGTTTTCTGTGTATGTTTTTGATTAATACTTCCTGTGCTTGTTTCATTAAATAGACCACATTGAGTCTATTGGAATAAATTAATTGAAATGCAATGTATTTAAGTTTAGCTTTTGGTAATAAGACATTAATCACACATCCACCGTTGGAGAGCATTTTGATATACATGCTTATCATTAATGAAATCTTGTTTTCAAAGTGAAACTATTCTCTTATCAGGCTTTTTGCAAATACAAGTGTGACATACAGTCAATATTAATAAGTTAAAAGCAAAACGTGCTCAGTGGATGGATCGTTTAAGGTCTTTGCACTTATATTTCCCTGATATAAATATTAAGAAACTATTATCGTATAAGATCTGTTAAAAATCTTCTTCATGCGCAAATAATAGATTAAAATTGCTCTTCACAGTTGCGTTGTTTCTCGTTTTTAAATATGTTGAATTTTTGTATTAAATTTTCTACCGAGATTTCTCCGTGCACAACATTATCTCTCGTTCTAACATTGACAGTACCAGCACTGCGTTCCTTTTCTCCCACAACTGTAAATAAATGATATTAATATCAGATAATTGAACTATTGCGCAATCGATCATATTATGAACGATTAAAATAAAATTAACATGATATTGCTCACCAAGTATGAAATTGAATTGAGCTAACTGAGCATTACGAATTTTTTTATTCATAGTGTCTCCAGAGTCAACATCTACTTCTGCCATGAATCCAGCCTGCCAAAGTTGTTCCTTTACTTTAAATGCGTAATCATCAAACTGCGGACCAACGGGTACAACCATTACTTGTCGAGGAGAAATCCAGAATGGCCATTTTCCAGCATAGGATTCTGTTAAAATTGCTATCATACGTTCAACTGAACCTAAAATAGCTCGGTGAATGATTACCGGTCTCGTTTTTTCACTAGATTCACTAAAACATAGATAAATATAGAATAAAATACACAAAATAAATTGAATAAATTTGTACTATATTACATGATTGTAAGTTCTTACTTTACATATGATAAATTAAACCTAATTGGTAACTGGAAATCCAGTTGAATCGTTGCACATTGATGTGATCTTTTTAAAGCATCCATTATTGTTATATCAATTTTGGGACCATAAAATGCTCCATCTTGAGGATTAATTGTCCATGGTTCACCGAAAGTATTCAAACTATCAGCCAATGCTTTTTCAGCCTGATCCCACATAGCTAAATCTCCTAAATATTTCTCTGGTCTTGTTGAAAGGCACAAATTAAATGTGAATCCAAATATGGAATAAACATGTTTGAGGAAATCAAGTGCACCTAACATTTCATCTTTGATTTGATCAACAGTACAAAATATATGTGCATCATCCTGTTGAAATCTACGCACTCTTGTCAATCCTGTCAAAGCACCAGATAATTCATTACGGTGCAGGACTCCAAAGTCTGCCATTCTTAATGGCAATTCTCGCCATGATCTTGGACGGACATCAAATATTAAGCAGTGTCCTGGACAGTTCATGGGCTTTAAAGCAAATGTTTCTTTTTCAACGTCAAAGGAAAACATATTCTCAGCATAATGAATCCAGTGTCCAGATGTTTGCCACAATTTACTATTGAATACGTTAGGAGTTACAACTTCTTGAAATCCTCTCTTCTTATATTCTGACCGAATAAATTCGACCAAAGTATTATAGATGTGTGCGCCCCGTGGTTGGAAAAAGCAAGATCCTGGTGAAAGTTCATGAAAGAAAAATAACTCTTGTTCTCTTCCTATCTTTCTATGATCACGTTTAGCTGCTTCTTCTTGGAATTTTTCCCATTCTTTTAATAGTTTGTTATCAGGAAAACTGATTCCATAAACTCTCTGCAAAGATTCAGCATTGGAGTTCCCTTCCCAGTATGTACATGAATTCTTTGTAATTTTAGCAGCCTTGATTTTTCCAGTATGTCGAACATGAGGACCTCTGCACAGATCTATCAATGGACCACATCTGTACACAGTAGTTGTAGGTGTGTGTACTTTTTCATTCAAAATGCGAACTTTAAATTCATTGTACTTAAACATTTCTAGAAGGTCTTCTTTTTTCATTTCGAGCCTCTCAAATGGCTGCTTCTCCTTAACTATAGTTTTAAATAAATTTTCCATATAGGGAAAATCTAAATTTGAAATACCTTTATCACTCAAGAACATATCATAGTAGAAGCCATTTTCTATAGGAGGGCCATAACACAGGCAACCTCCATAAATGCGTTCCATAGTTTCTCCAAGAATGTGAGCACTAGAATGCCAGAAAACCTGTTGTCCTTCTGGATTATCAAATTTTAAAAGTTCAAGTTTACAATCAGATTCTAAGGGTCGATCCAGATCCCATAGTTCATTATTAACTTTTGCAATGACTGTGCTGTCTGCTAAACTCTGACTTATATCTTTTGCCACTTCATAAGGAGTTGTACGCCATGCTTGACCGTTTACTTCTTTGCCATCAGGTAGTGTAATTGCTATATCAATAACAGGCTTTGCAGCTATTTCAGCATTATACTTAGTTTTTAATTCATTCCACATGATAAGACGATCCTATGACAAAATAATGTACTTAAAAAAAGAGATGAGTTTATTTTGTTTATTATATCAGCTGATAAAGTGGATACTCGTGACATTTTTAGGAAAAAAAAAGTTTGATTATACCTTGCTAGTAAACAATATTATTTGCTTTTATGTAAAATGTACATGACAGAAGTAAAAACATAAGTTTTTACTAAAGCTATGCTTAATCTTTATCAGATAAATTTTATTAATACAGATTTACAAAACTACCTCAGAATGCAGGTGTAATTACAGGTAAGATGTTAAATTACCTTAATATAAGAAGGCCATGGATTTAATTCCAATACCGTGCTTTTCTCTATAGCCGCATTCTTTCCCTTTGATTTCATTTTTACCTAAAAGACAGTGATAAAACAATGTAAGTGAATAGGTAATGTTTTATAAATAACATCATAATAGTACACGTCAGTATTGCCTCGCATGGTTGCAGAATTGGTACACGTAAATGAATTTGAAGGTTTCATCAGATTAACGATTTATAAATTGACACTGGTGAATTTAGTAGTCTAACCGTGAAGTATTAATCTTATCCTGTGGTAGATATACTATAATTCAAGATGGGTTAAACGAAATGAAACGGAGAAATTAATAAAAGAAAACGCAATTCACACAATTTGATATAACCAACCCAAGCTAACGTCCGTTTGGTGCCGTTTAAAATGATCCGAGAATCGCGGTAGCACAATCTTTTCAGCATAATTTACCGAGAATCTGAGATACTTAAATAAAACATAATATAATTTCAACTTTCATGCCTTTTCTTCGTTCAAACTTAGATTCTCAACAGCAGGCAGAACATCACCCATATTGCACTGCACGTGTTGGGCTTAGTTGAATGCAGTTGAACGATCTTGCAACTATCAAATCCGTGTATGCCCAGAAAGTTGAATAGTAGAAGACAGACTATGCAGGTGAATTTCGGGATATAATCAGAGATGAGTTGGGAGATTGCTCACGGGCAGGGTCGCGAGATCGCATCGTGTGCTGCCCTCTGGTTTTGTACGTGAGCTTTCACCGTTTTTTGCGCCCAAGGGCGGCGCAACAAATTTCTGACAGGGACTCACGCACTCGC